AACATATATTACAAGTATGAAATATGTGGTGTGTATAATTCAATTAAAATATTTTTGTTTTATGTTTGAGCAGGTAAAATACAGCATATGTTTTGTAGGGTTTTTTTTTTTAGGTTTACTTCTTTATTTTTGTAGCCAGGACTTTCAGGGTGTTTTCCACCATTAAACCTGATTCATATCAGCCTGGAATGAATCTCATTCTCTGTGGAAAAAAGCATAACCTCTTATCCAAATCAGCATACCTATTGACTTCCATTTTGAAGTCAAGACATTTTTAAAATATATAGATTGGTTTAATCTAGCAGCTTTCATAATCCAATGTCTCTTAGGGAAGAGGAGGGAAAGGAAGGACCAAAAATCCCAAGATGAGTTTCAAAATTATTTGAATTGCATTTGTTGAGAAGGAGGTTGAGGGTAAATAAAGTCAATGATGGAACAGGCATCATCAAAGGAAGTGATACCAAAAAAAATAAAATTTCTGTTTAGTTGACTCCTTGACAAATAGTTTTGATATATAAGGTTGTTTGTGGGGAAGGTATTGGTGAAGATAGATTTAAATAGGGTTGTTATGGATGTCCTTAAAGTTAATCCCATGAGGTAGCTTTGGAGTTCTCATCACAGTTGTTTACATAGAGGGAGGTAATAGATTGGCTATTTTTAAAAGGCTAAGATATGCTAAAGTGGTTTTGGGGTTTGGGCCTGTAGTATTCTTATATCCCTGAGTAGTTCCCCTCCTCCCGCCCAGCCCATGTTTTATTTTTTTCACTTTGTATATTATGTCAGTTGAACGTAAATCAGCTTTTTCTTAATGTAATTGGAGCATGAGTTGGTGGTAGAAGGTGGACTCTATAGAACAAGATAGCTCTCTGTGGGTTCTAATAAAACTTGTCAGGGTAAAACATAGCCTCCCTGTGGTCACAGTTAGCATGGAGGGAGAAGCACACTCCCCATTCCAGAAACACTGAGAATGTGAACCTGCTTTGGTCTGGTGGGGGGGGGGGGACTGCAAGGAGGGGCTGGTGCCTGTGTCACTAGAAAAGCCGTGGAGGATCCTGTGATGTGCAGCCCTGGAGGTGGGGTGGGGCACGTGTGATAATCCACACAAGAAAGATACAGACACCTGATTAAGTCAATTAAAAATATATGAGTCCTTTATTGGCCAGCGACCAAGGGAAGGCTTATGCCTCAAAGCCATGGGGCCAAAGCTCAGGGGAATAGCATTTTTAAAGGCAAAAGCCACAAAGACAATAATTTACATCAAAGTTACATGAGAGAGTAACTTGGAAGCCTTCATTTCTGGCAGAATATAGTAATTATTTTAGATATGACATGACAATTATTTTTTTATTTATACCTTCCTCAGGTATATTAGTTTATGTCAAGTTTGTATAAATAGTCATTATTTTGGTGAACACATCTGGACCATGGTCAAGGTCATGGAAATATCAACTATGTTGCCAAGGTAGATGTGACTGTTGTCAGGTAGGAAGCTGAGAACTGTCTAAGTAAACACAAAACAGAGTCAGGACATGATAGCGTTATCTTAGTGATGTCGTAACTACACAGAGGGAGATGGGGAACAACTACATGGTGGGTATCATCAGCACCAGGCCAGGTCCAAAAGAAATCAGGAGACTTTTAGTAAGATCCCAGAGAGCCAGAAAGTAGCAACCATGAGCCACCGTGTGTCAGAGGAGACAAATAGAACCCAAGGACAACACTGGAGAAGCCAGGCTTTTTGTCATCATAGCAAAGCAAAACGTTTGGCTGTGAATGAGGCAGCCTCCTAACACAGAGAGAAAGAAAAGTTGCAGTCTCCATGCAGCTGGAGAAGGAGGCTTTCTGAAGAGGCTGCTTTTGTGTGAAGAACGTAGTAAAGAAAAACGGAAAGGAAAAGAGCTGTTTTAGAGTTAGAAAGGGCATTTGCTATAGGAATTCTCAAGCCATTTGCCACTATGCTGTATAAAAATCTAGATCTGCTCAAATGTACATCAAAGAAATCATGTTTAGGCCACTGAAAGCTATTATTTAATTTTTGTGTGTGTGTGTGACAAGATGATGTTACAAAAGAAAATTGGTCATTTAGGTATGATCCCCCCCCAGGAGCATTTTGAGAAAGGTGGGCAAAAATGGGTTGTATCCATTATGAGGCTTGATGAGTCAAGCAAGTGGAAACATATGAGGGAATCCTGCACCACTCTGCTTCCTGATCTCCCAAATATGAGGCCATTGCCACACCCAGGAAACCAACCTGAGTTTGGGCATCCCCAAAACTGTCCGGTTTATAGCAGTGAGTCCCAACCCAAGCTCAAGGGAGGCAGCTGCCTAAACTTTTACTGAGTTAGTCCAGAGATGGTGTTTGTCCCAAAGATGAGAGGCTTACCAGAAGTCAGAGGCCAGTGTAGAGGGTGGAGAAGCAACAGTAAGCATAGAAGGCCAGGGACCCCCAAGAGCATCTGTTACAGCTGAGCCCCAACATGGGCTTTGCCACCATTATGATAGGTCTCAGCTTAGGAGCTCAAGTGCACACTGAGTGGGGGATGGGTTGTCTGAGGTGAGTTCAGACCCAAGAGGCAGAGTGTGTGCCCCCTTTTACATGTTTCAAGGAAACGGGAAGGTCCACAACAGCACTTTTGAGTCAATGTGCAGAACTGTCTCTAGTTCCAGGAAGCAAAAGGGGAAGAGGGCTTGCATTTTGAGAAAGGAATGAGTGACCTTGAAAGTGTGAAGAGTAAAGAGCAGGGACTCATTAGCTACTGTGTTTCTATCTTTCCTTTATTGTAGACACAACTCCTTCTCCGTCAAGTGATTAGAATCTCTGGCTGGGTTAATCACTTTGGCTAAGGGACAACCCCTAGGAAGGTGGGCTCACTTACCATGCTAAAGAGATGGAATAATTAGCTCTTTAACGAGGTACTATACTATTCTTTCTGCCCCAAGTTCAGTAGTAACATAGGGCCATCAGTCTGCACACTTTTCTGAAATATTCAGAAAGGTGAGACTTTTCTTTTTCTTGATTTCTAAGCATGTTTTCCAGGCTTTTTCCCTATAAAGGAAGGGACAGGGAAACCACTAAACTGGACCACTCTATGGGTAGAAAGCAAGTTTATCTGAGAAAGTTCAAAGCTACCATGGCCATCTCTTAGGGGACAGAGAGAGAAAAGCAAAAGGTGGGGAAAGCCCTGACAGTTTTAAAGAGACAGGCTGCTGCAGGAGGAAGTGGGAATAGCCGGAAATTCGAGTATCAAGTGGGGAAGGTCTGTGAGCCAGGAGAACCTGAGGACTAGAGTGGGGCTGTGAAAGCTATTACTGGGGAATGGATGCCCATTGCTGGAGATACTCGGCTGTAGGGAGATAAGAGAAGCAATGGCTCTTCCTGACAGACAGAAACCTGCTTCATGAGTTTCTGATTTCAGGGTTTTGTTTATCTGCTAGCAATTCTTCTGTTACCTGGTCAGCGCCCAACCTGAGCTGCGCCTAGAATGTCATTTATGACATTGTCAAGGGCACTGCCATTTTGGGGGGCCCATTTGGATCGTGCATCCCTCAGTGTTTTAGGATTCCTACTTAAAACCTTGTGGCCTCCATGACAGCCGAAACGCATGGCTTTCTCCTTCTGTAGCTCGAGTTTTGCAGCATAACTGCTCTGGAAGTTTTCTTTTTGAGCTCTAATAATGTCCTCGTGCTTCCATTTGAGTCTATTCTTTAAAAATTGTTTTATTGATAACCCCAAGAGGGACCCAATTAACTTCCCATCTATCAACACGGGGCAGGTGGGCCCTGATAGCTTAGAGTCTTTTATAGGACAGGTGAGTGCTATGTAAATGACCTCTGTGAAAAGGGCCAGAAGTCCTTTTGAGCACATGCTTTTTCTTCAGCTCTCTGGCCCACTCCCCTTCGCTGGGGTGCTTTCTCTTTCACAATAAACTGCCCCTGTTTCTACAACAATACAGTGGACGGTGCTTGGCACCCTTCCTGCTCCTCTGAGTGCTAGACCCTGTCTTCTAGCTACTTATCTTTGTAGTCTTCCTCTTGGCACCTTAAGCTCCTGTCAAGAACCGACTCGGGCTGTAGACATGGCTCCTGGATAAAAGGGCACACGATGCTCTTGTCAAGGACCAGGGGATCAGTTCCCAGCACCCACATGGCAGGTCACAACTATTTACAACTTCAGTAAGTCACATTCCACGGGGTGCTGCTGCTGTGAGCCCTGGGTTCCTCTCCGCTGAACCAGTGAATATGGAGTGTGTTTTTCACTTTCTTTGATAACAGATGATACCACAATCACAATTGTATTCCTGAGCTATTTTCTCTCCTATTTCCTTTTCATTGCATTTTCAGAGTCCCCTTTTCTTGGATGTTCTCATATACTTGTACACACACACTTATACATATTGTACTATTTACACAAATCTCCAATAAGAACCAATTTAACAACTTGCCTTCTGAGTATTTTTTCTAATTTTTCATGAATAAATGAGACACTTTCCTCATTCAGGGAGGTTATTCATATAAATAGTCAATGCTTGCACTGAATTCAACCCCCAGTACCAAGTAACTAGGCAACAGGTGCATATCAGAAATCTTAGTGCTTGGAGGTGGGGACAAGAGGATCAGAAGCCTGGATTGCATCAGACCCTAATGCAAAAAAAAAAAATTTCTTTTAATCTGATACATAGAAAGAATACGAACGATTAACAGCTAAATCCTCCACCCCTGGGGGGGGGGGGACACAGGCAGCTATTACAAAGTGTAAAATGTATCATAATTTGGAATTTCTGGAGATTTCCAAGTTTGTCAAATATAAACCAATATGGATTTTGCTTTTGATTCTAAAGCCTGCGTGTGGTTGTGTACGTTTTATAGTACTCTGTTCTTGCTTGTTTTCTCTGGCTCTAGGAAGTGCCCAGAATCGAGTGGGTGTTCTCTAGATTTGCTGAATGGAATAGCTATTCTGAATGCCCACCACCTCACTTCATTGCCATTATGCATCCATTTAGGTTAAGGAATTTGACACCAACTTCACTTATGTGCAGCAGTCAGAATTCTACCTGGAGCCCAACAGCAATTATGTATTTCAAGTGAGATGTCAAGGACCGGGTAAAAGACATTGGCAGTCTTGGAGTTTGCCTTTTGTTCACAAAACGCCCCTCTCAGGTGGGTATGTTTAAATACTGTGTTCTCTGTAGCTCTCCTTTTGATCTCCTTCTTCCAAGCATTCTTTCAGCTTGCCTGCGATCCTTAAGAAAGGCTACTCTGTGGAGGGTGACAATATTAAAATCATCATTTGCTTTGAGCTTTTTAAGGCTGACAATTTGTGAAATGGTTTAAGCCACCTGGAGATGCTTGGATTTCAACACATTTACTCACATTTCTTCCCACAAAGGGACTAATTCTACACACAGTTGGGGTGACAATCCTCACAAACACAATGATTTGTTATCAGTCCTTGTTTTGGAAAGTATCATTGAGTTACAGAAAAAAACAAATGCATCACAAAAAAAATTAAAAAATCAAATAATGTGACTAAACACTGATTATCTCTATACTGAAAGTAACCCGAAAGAGTTAAAAACACTTAACCATGGAATTAATGACTTCTCAGCAAGACCTCGCTGATAGAGATATAGAAAGATCTCGTTCCTATTACTATTTGTTTAATTACATATGCATCTAGTCACACCACACAATACCACCTTCTTAGCTGAATAGATTTCAATTGTAAGCAAGTAATAAAAGTCAAACAAGTACAGTTGTCACAATATTCCAGAGTGGCTCCATGAACCAGATGTATGCCTTTTATGTATAGTTTATACGCCAGGTTTTGTTTTGCTTTCCAGAAACAACGCATCTGGCTTAATTATACTCACATCATTAATAACATCATCCTTATTGCAACAGCTTGACAACTATGATATGTGATTTCAAGTGGATGGAGCCAAGCAAACCAAGTTATTTTGGCGCCCCCTAATGTCCAAATCCTAGAGCTACATTATTAGGAGAATAATTCCAAATAAATTATCAGTTCTCTATTTTTAGAAGTTAAAATTTAATATTTTCCGTCTTAAGTTGGTATTGGTTAAACTTCCTGAGACTTTCCATACAATATAAAATATATTTACTTAGTAATTAAATTCTTTTTCAATTTTTATTTTAATTTGATTTTATGTGTATGGTACTTGTATTTATATGTTTGTCTCTGTGTGCCTGGAGCCCACAGAATCCCAGAAGAAGGCAGTGGATCCCCTGGAACTGAAGGTATAAATGGTTGTGAACCACAGTGTGTATGTTGGGAATCAAACCCAGATCCTCTGGATGAGCTCTTAACAGTTGAGCTATCTCTCTAGCCCCAAGTAACACGGTTCTTTTTAAATGAAACCCAGAGTTACTCAAATGAGTGTAATTGAGCATAATTTGCTTAAACTTGCAAAGCACTGTTCTCTGTAAGCTTGTTTGTTTTCTATGTCCACCGTATTTGGTTGTGTAATTAGCACCATTTTGCAAATGTAGAAAGTGAGTCATGATTTGCTAGGCAGTCTGGCGCATTGCTCGTGGGTCATTGCACTGAGCTGCTCAAATGCTGTACATTCTCATCACCACTGCTCAGCACTCTCAATCTTTGTCATTCAGTTCTGTCTGAACAAGTGGAATGGCAGATAATCTGTCCCTCTACAGGTCAGGGGCAGGCCAACAAATGGTGTGTGCATGCACGTATTTGGTTGTTGTTGTTGTTGTTGTTGTTGTTTAGACAGAATGTCACTCTGTAATACAGTATTGTCTTGAACTTGTGACAATCCTCCTGCCTCAGCCCTCCAACTGCTGGAATTACAGGCATGTGCCAATCATATCCAGCACAAATGTTGTTTAAAGACAAAGGTCTAGGGTAGAAGGGAATAAGAACCTACAAAGTCTGAGCTTCACATTTCTTATTTCATAAGGAAAAATTTCACTTAAAAGGCAAAATAGCAGTCAAACGTAAGGATTTATGCACCTCACACACTCGCTTAAAGGAACCACAGGCTATTCTTTTGTTCCACATCCCTTCCCGTGATACATTTAATGAGAAACAGTGGAAATACTAGAGAAAGTAAAAATTTTTAAACCCAAATACATATTTTTCTTTGCAAACACAATGTACATTTGTTTACTATGTGATCTAGAAATATCTATTAATCACATGTTAATGAATTTATGATAGTATTTCCTATGCACATACATTTTTGTAATTGGAACCTGCAGTGTTTTCTGGTTTGCCTATGTATTCTACTTGTAAGTTTTTAAACACCTTGTTTAATGGCTACACATTGTTCTAGTTTATAGACATACCATGACTTATTTCCTTTTTTGAGATTTTTTTTTAATATATATGGATGTTTTGCCTGCATGTATAATGTCTGTGCACCACATGCATGCAATATCCAAGGAGGCCAGAAGAGGGCATCTGATCCTTTGAAATTGGAGTTACACATGCACAAACATGTGGATGCTGTGAATCCAGCCAACCTCTGGAAGAGAAGACAGTGCTCTTAACAGCAGATCCATTTCTCCACCCCCATTTCCTTATTTAAACAAAATTTCAGCTACTTTATTTTATCATTATCAGTAAGCTTCTTTTAGTAGATTTGTATTTAAACTTTTACTTCTTTATGTCTAAAAAAAAGAATTATTAGATCAAGAGTTAGGCAAATTTGGTGCTGGGAAGATGGCTTGGTAGGTAAAGGGCTTGTAGAGTGAGAATGAGGCTCTGGATTCACATTTCCAGCACCCATATAATACCCATGTGCAACAGTGTGTATCTGTAATCCCAGTGCTCTGGAAGGGCAGAACCTGGCAGATCCTAGAGGCTGACTAGCCAGTCACTCTAGCCCATCAATGAGCTCCAGGTTCAGTAACGGATCAATGTCTCAAAAAAAAAAAAAAAAGGTCAAGAACAGTAGAAGTGGAACTGAATGTCAGTCTCAGGCTGCCACATGCACATACATGGAAGAAAGTATCCTCACATACACAAGCATACACACATATACACAGTTAAGCACATACATGTATACAACACACATACAGTGTTAAGCACATACACACATACTCCAAGTTAAGCATATATACACAAACCACACATATATTCAGGCAACACATACACACACACACACACACACACACACACACACACAGAGGGAGATTAAGCACATTTTAAGATGCATGTTGTCAAATTGTTTTTTTTTAATTCTATTGGTAATTTTATATATAAATACACTGTATTTACATCATTTCCACCCCTATGTCTCCTTTATACCTCCTTCCAAATTCATGACCCCTTCTACTCCTCCTCCTCCTCTTGTCCTCCTCCTCCTCTTCTTTTTTTTATTATTTTTTGAGACAGGGTTTCTCTGTGAGGCCATGACTGTCCTGGAACTCACTCTGTAGACTGGAATGGCCTTGAACTTGCAGAGATCCACCTGCCTCTGTCTTCCAACTGCTGGGGTTAAAGGCCTGCACTACCACCTCTGGGCTATGGCCCCTTCTTGTGCAAATATAGATAGATAGATAGATAGATAGATAGATAGATAGATAGATAGATAGATAGATAGATAGATAGATACATATTTGTGAATCCATTCAGTGTTGAACTTATGTATATGTGTTTAGGACTAATAATTTGAGATGAATAGCCTATGAGGGAACTTAACCCCAAAGATAACTAACTTTCCCTCCCTCAGAAGCCATTGCTTGTCTGTAGCTCTTCATCTAGGGGTGGAGGCTTGTGAAATGTCCCTCATCTTCCTTGGCTCATCAACTGATGTATTCATTATGCAGGTCTTGTTTGGGCAGCCATATTGTTGAGAGATCATGGGAGCAGCTCCCTGTAATGTCTAGAAGACGCTATCTTGCGGCAAGCATCTTGGTCCTCTGGCTCATACCATCTTTCTGCTCCCTTTTCCATCATGTCTCCTGAGCTTTAGGTACTGGGGTTGTGCTGTAGGTGTACTAATTAAGTCTTTGCCTCCCGTGGTCACTTAGTCTCTATATTTTGACCAGTTATGGATCCCTGTAGCAATCTCCATCTGTTGTAAAAAGAGGTTTCTTTGATGAGGGATATGAGCCACACTTATCTGTGAGTATAAAGATAAGTGTTTAGAAATAGAAGCTAAATTGACTTAAGAAAATCATAATAGTAGGTTCTCAAATATGTTTTAGCAAATCCTCACTATTTACCTTTTTAAGAATCCATGAAAAAACAGTTATTATCATGTTATTTGAATATTAATTCATCCTATACCACTTGGCAGTCCTTATAAGTGCTTAAGAACCTCAGTAAGCAAAGACCAAGATATATACCTTGGAGAAGTTTTATTCTAGAGAAGATAGAAAAGAATAATTACATAACAAATTTCATTACCTTGTAAGTACAAATACAAATAAAAGCAGGGAGAAGCAACCTACACAGGTGAAGATCAACGTGACTTGTGATTGAAAACAAAATATGTTCCCATAATATTATTTTTGTTAACCAGTTTGCTTGGTAATGAAGTTTTTTCCCAATAGCTAAACTCCAAATAATTAAGCGTTTATTTATAAGGAAGTACATGCAGTGCAAGCAATAATGTTCCTTCCAAAGAGGATTGTCCTGATTATTTTCTAAATTATTACATGTGTGTCACTGATTTCAAAAATTATACCCAGGTAGGCTAGTAGGCATTTCTCTGTATTGCTACTCTCTGAAGAGCGTCTTTTCCTTGTCTTTAAAGCCTGGTCTTGAACACTGGGCATGGGTGCACATGCCTATAATCCTATAACATGGGAGGCTGAAGCAGGAGGATTTGGAGTTCAAGTTCAGCCGAGGCTGTGTAGTGAGAGTCTGCCAATAAATGGAAGGATGGATGGAAGAATGGATGGATGGATGGATGGATGGATGGATGGATGGATGGATGGATGGATGGATGAATGGGGAGGATACAAGCAGCAAAACCTGCTCTCAAGCTATGATGCTAGTCAGTTGTAGCGTGGTTGGCCTGCCTGGTTCAAGTACTGCCAACTATGACAACAATAAAAGTTTTTGAAAAACCCAGGCTCAAAGAGAAACCGAAAGAGCTCATTTATAGTAAGAGCTGGGTGACTTGAATGACTTAATCTCTTTTCCTTCCTTGAATATTAAGCCTTTA